ATAAACTAGGTCTTTCAAAAAAAAAAGGAAAGAAAGTCTTGTGATTCAAGTGTTAAGTTTGAAAGCAAATAAAAGATTTAAAAGGAAACCATTTGAATCTAAAAAAATGAATAAGATTTTTTTTTTTAAATAAATTTGATTTTAAATAGGAGATTCTTTTTCTAAAATTAATTTCAAATCCCTAAAATAAAAAGTTATTTTTTTTAATTTTYGTTAGTATTTTTTTTTAAGAAACAAATTTCAAAGATAAAGTATTGTTGTTTAAAAAGACACTTGAGTTAATATCTTAGGATATGATATAGTGGCAAAATCTTTGGGTATTGACACCTATATTACAAGTTTAAGCCTTCATGTGTACCTCAAAATGTTTTTTTTTTTACTTTATTTCATTTTATTTTTCTATTATTGTTTTTACTAAACAATCATTTTAAATAAAAATTGTTTTTTAAATAAAAGATTTTCGTTTATTTTTTAAACAAAATTCAAAAATAAAAAGTTTGTATTATAAAAAAGAATTTTAAGTTGCATCCGAAGGTGTTGGCACATTGGCGAGACACTTGGATTTTAATAGTCCAATATTTTCGCATGCTTGTTGGTTCATAAAATATGAACCAATAAATTTGGGACATTTAAAATCAAACACAAAAGTATTTTTCTTTTGGACCAAATATAATAGGATAATTTTCGACAAAATATGGTACCATTTTCGAATGGATGTCGTAGGGTGCTAACACCTTCTCTACGGTCAACCGACTTTCGAACCAAAATTATGTTTTCATAGACCAAGTTGTTTTTAAATAGGTGGACAATCACACCTTATAGATGATTGGTGGCGAGTGCAAACCTTAATCTCGAAAGAGACCTGTCAGGGGATGACGTCGGTCGCTCCGCATCATGATGACGTTGCGACAATAGTTATCTTCAATAAATTTCAATTCCACGATCCGAACAGATAACCAAAAATATAGTTCTCAAAAGAATAGTAAATTCTAAAATTTGAATAGATATTTTAAATTTTAGAAACTAAAATAGATATTTTAAAAATATATGGGATCTAAATAAAATAATCCTAAAATTTGAGGATGCTATAATTTAAACAACTTTTTCTTTCTCATGATAAACTGAAAATATATATGCAACAAGAAGTTAGCAAAATTAATAAATTGACCTTGAAATATATATCTATACTATATATAAATGGGGCTATGGAGGAGAATTTTTACCTTCCATTTTTGTCCTCAACTTTTAATTACATACCTATTTTGCCGTTTAAATTTCTACGAGAGACACGACTGTTCGGGTTAAAATATCTGTTGAGACAATTAATCCAAAATAGTTGTTACCATACGACAAGGAGTTAATCCAAAAGAGTTGTGACGATTCGATGAAGAAGTTAGTACAAAAAAGTTGTGACTATTCAAGTGAAAATGTGTGTTGGGAGAAGTTAATACGATGAGAAGTGCAACTATTTGATGAAGTTAATCCAAAATGTTATATTTTAGTTCTAGTTTTCGCATTTAGCTTAATATGACTTTTTGACTGGTGTTGTTCTTATTTTATTTTTCTTCGTCGTGCGATTATTTATCCCACATGTCACTACAACAAATCTTAGTTTTAATGTCGGACGAAAAAAAAATGCGGACGAAACGATGTCGGACAAGAAAAACACGGAGGCAACCATGTCGGACACGCTAAAAAACACGCCGAATTTTTTATTTTAAATTTTTTTAAGTATCCATGTCGGGCCTAGCCCGCCATTGTAGTTTTAGTTTTAGTGGCGGCCTGGCCCGCCATGAAAAGTGCCCAATTTTAACCCTAAATTAAAAATTTCACCCAAAATTTTTACCCACGAAATTTTTTTGCCTCCCCAACTCTCTTTGCCACGCGAACCCTCTCTACCCTCTCGTGAAACCGGCGCGAACCTTGCTCCATTGTCGGGGGAAGGGGAGCAAACGACCACGTACAAGAGGCACGAGCGAGACCCAACAGTGAGGAGGAAGTTCTGGCGGCAGAGAGCGACAAAATCAGCAGCGACGAGCTTCGATTCGGTGGCAGGGAGCGAATCATCTCAAATCACATATAAATCTCTCCTCCTACGCCTAAGCTCCGGCTCTCAAATCATCTCTCTCTCGACGCTGTGCTTTTTACTAGACGCCCACCGGCGTTGCATTTTTCGGAGGAGGTTTTCTTGAAGGTGAGCATTACCAATCTCTCTGCGTCTTCCTTAATCTCTGTTTATTGAACTCTGGAGGTTATTAGATGGATACTTTGTTGGTCGAAAGTGGTGTAGATGGAGGTTGTAGAGTTACAATCAAGTTCATATCTCTCTGTGGAATGTTCCTATCTCGTCTTTGCATTCAAACTAATAATAATTACCAACTGATTTTTATCCCAAGTTCAAGACAAACATGTGGTTTGAAGAATCGAAAGACTAAAATAGAATAAAATTGGAAAGGAACAATCAATGTGCTTTACATTGTAGAAGAAAAAGCAGTAATTAAATTTACTTCTTTAGACGACAACCCATGTGAGTATTTGATGTCCTTGAAGCTTTAAAAAGGCATGTTGTACGTCTTGAAGTGTATTTAGCTTTTTATGAAAAGAAAAATGTCGTTTTTGTGTTTCCAAAATCTCAAATATGTTCGATTATGAAATTAAACAATGTTATGGCTTGAAAAAAGCAAAAAACTGTCTTTCTGTTTGTAAGTTGAAGAAGTGGGCAGTGTTTTGAAGCTTCTTTTCTCCAAATTTTCATGTAGACGTTTTTGAATTTTTGGATGGGAAAGAAATGTTTTTACCTCATAAGAAGTATTTTTCAAATTTGTTATGATGTTTGGTTATATATTTGTTATATGTTTTTCAAACTACTGAAATGGTATGTGTTTTTAGCTAGGGTGTAGTGGGTTAAATAGGGTAAAAATTTCCTTGTCTCTCGAGAACGGTGGAAGGCAAGCTTATTGAGGGGGATCAGGCTGTTGAGGGAGAGGTCCTTTCCTTTTTTTCTTTGTTGTATGGACCTCCCTTGACTTCTCAATGGAGGGTCTAGATTGGTATCCTACTTTCGAGTTTGAAAGGTAAAGCTTGGAAGCCCCTTTTTCTTTGTGAGAGATTAGGAAGGTGGTTTTTGATTTTGAAGGAGACAAGTTGTAAGGCCCAAATGGTTTATCGATGGCCTTATTTTAGGAGAATCGAGAGCATATTAAAGGCGATCTTTGGAGAGTATTTTCTGAGTTCCAAAAAAGAGGTATTATTGATGCTTCTATGAATGAAACCCTTGTGTGCTGTCCAGAAAAGGAGAAGGTTAGGAAAATGAGACTTTAGACTCATCAGTTTTGTCACAAGCCTTTATAAGATCATAGTTCAATTACACATCTTGTCAAACTACTGAAATGGTATGTGTTTTTCTATTTTCAAAACTGATGAATTAGTGTATTCTTCAAAATTTCGACTTGTTCAGTTTACACAATTTTTATTTGAAAAAATCTCATCGTGAAATAGAAAAAGGGGTCCGAACAAAGATTAGTTCCTTGTAGGTAAATTTTCTCAAGAATACGTTTACCTCTATTTATTTAAGCAGAATGGGTTTTGATTCTTTGCAAAGGTGCTCTAATTCTTAGCTGTTAGATCCTTATTCTATTTGCAAGTTGAATATCTTCATGGTGCTTACTCTTGCCCCGTTAGTCCTCCAACTCCTTGTCACTGTAACTTTAGTTCCTCTTTCAAATGGTGCTTTGCTGGGGCTTTGGCTACTCAAACTCGAGTCTATTTGATGATTAGTTCTTTGGTAATTAGGCTCAACAACCGATCTTCACATCTTGTGGCCTGCTTATGTTTGAAGCATGAAAAAAAGATAATCTTTGGTGAGTGACCTTATTTGGGTTTATATAGGACCTAAACACATGAATCTATTGATTTTCAGATTGCTCTTGTCTATGATATCAACCATAAATTGTTGCCAAATATACTATTTATAATATATTTGATTACCAGTATGTTTTATGTCATGAATTTGGTTACTAATAAATTCTTTATTGTATAGTTCATGGCCTCAAACTGGAGTGCCCATCACAAGTTGTTTTAGAACTACACTACTTTCACTATTAATTTTGATTTGAGGGCTTTTGTTTGATTCTTCTTTTTCAGAGTTGGGACACCGTCTTTTAGGCTTTTTTGTTTGGCTGTAACCTTTCTATGAATGAATTCCTCACCAATCTCTGAATGAAAATTTCAACAATACTCTATGGCACAAGAGATTTGAACCTCTTCAGAAACTATTGTACTGTTTGTTCTTTTGACTTGTTTTCCTTTTCCTTCTCTGTTTGTTTGTATATTATTATTATTGTTGTTGTTGTTATTTAATTATTTTGAGATGGTGAAGGTGTGGATAAATCTATGATATTGATTGCGTGGGCATTTAGATCTAGGTCAAACGAAAATTGTCCTTGGTTGATGATAATTTTATTTTTTGTATCATAATCTTTTAGAATAGCTGCTGATTTTTCCCCCTGGAATTTTATTACAAGCTGTGCGTGGAGGAGGACAGATAGTATTGAAGGGGCTTTACGCTGGTTTGGGTGGAAATATTGCTGGTGTGTTGCCGTAAGTACCTTCTAGAGGGTATTAGTTCCAAGTATTATCTAAGATTTTAAGCTATGAGTTATTATTATAGAATTCACATCATTGTTACGACTTACATTTTATGTTAATTGATGGAGAATATTGAAGGTCTCTGTGGGGATTTAATTAGTAATAAGTCGTGGATGACAAAAAATAGAATGTCAACCGAGTATAGTTTAGGGGTTGAGATGTTCATTGAAAATGGATTACGACATTCAAAAAGATCAAATGTCATTTGTTGCCCATGTTTAAAGTGTGTAAATTCAAAGTCTCAACATGTGAATGTAGTAAGAGATCACTTATTTGTTTATGGTATTGATCAAAGCTATAAGACATGGATTTGGCATGGTGAATCAATATCGATTAAGAGAAACATCGAAAGTATGTCTACTAGTGCACAAGAAGAAGTTGAGGATGACGATTTTGATGACACAATAGGGATGTTTGAGGCTGCATATGATTACTTTGACGATAGTCCAGCAAATTTCGAGGAGCTACTAGGTGATGCGAAGAAACCATTATATCCAAATTGTAAGAACTTTACCAAAAGATCTGCATTATTGAAGTTATATAATTTGAAAGCGAAATTTGGATGGAGCGATAGAAGTTTTACAGAGTTGTTGGCATTAGTTCGTGATATGTTACCAAGTCCTAATGAAATTCCAAATTCTATGTATCAAGCAAAAAAAAACTTTATGTACTATTGGGATGAAGTATGAGAAGATTCATGCTTGCCGCAAGGATTGTTGCTTGTTTAGAAAAGAACTCTCAGATGCAGATGAATGCCCCATTTGCGGAACATCAAGATGGAAGCTTCGTAAAGATTCAAAGGAAGCAATGAAAAATGTTCCGGCCAAAGTCATGTGGTACTTCTCTCCAATTCCAAGATTTCAACGAATGTTTCGAAGCAAAGAAATATCAAGTTTGTTGACTTGGCATGCCAAAAAAAGAGTAAGTGATGGGTATATACGACATCCAGCAGACTCAATTTCGTGGAAAGAAGTAGACAAATTGTGGCCAGAGTTTGGTCTAGAGCCTAGAAACCTTCGTCTTGCTCTTTCAACAGATGRGGTCAATCCACATGGTGAACAAAATAGTAAATATAGTTGTTGGCCAGTTATGTTGGTGACGTACAATCTACCCCCGTGGTTGTGCATGAAGCGAAAATTTCTGATGTTGACTGCATTAATATCTGGTCCCAAACAAYCAGGAAATGACATAGATGTTTATTTAGCTCCATTAGTTGATGATTTGAAGAAGCTTTGGAATGATGGAGTTGAATGTTTTGATGCATATCAAGAACGGTGTTTTACACTTAAAGCTATTTTACTGTGGACTATTAATGATTTTTCTGCGTATGGGAATTTGTGTGGTTGTGCGGTAAAAGGATATCACGCATGTCCAATTTGTGGGGAGAAAACTTCATCCATTTATTTGCCAAAAGGGAGGAAGGTGGCGTATCTCGGGCATCGTAAGTTTTTACCACGTAATCATCCATATAGGAAGCAGAAGAAAGCATTTAATGGTAAACCATAATTGGGATTCACTCCTGAACCATTAAGTGGAGTAGAAATTCTTGCAAAAACAAGTGGACTCCAATATTCATTTGGAGAGAAAGGAAAAAAGGAAAAAAATGATGGAGATCTTTCAAATCGTTATTGGAAGAAGAAGTCTATTTTTTTTGAGTTGGAGTACTGGAAGCATCTTCATGTGCGACATTGTTTAGATGTGATGCACATTGAAAAGAATGTGTGCTCAAATCTTATTTGCACATTACTTGATATTCCAGGAAAATCAAAGGATAGATTACAAGCTCGCCTAGATTTGGTCAAATTGAATATTAGACCAGAGCTGACCCCTCAAGTGGGAGAGAAAAGTATATTTTTACCTCCAGCATGTTATACATTATCACGAGTGGAGAAATTGAATTTGTGCAAGACACTATCAGAAACTAAAGTACCCGAAGGTTATTCATCTAACATACAGTCTCTAGTGTCGTTAGAAGAATTGAAACTTAATAACCTCAAGTCACATGACCATCACGTTCTTATGCAACAATTGTTATCGGTGGCCATTCGTGGTATTTTACCGAAATATGTTAGATATGCCATTATTCGACTATGCTTATTCTTCAATGCTATATGTAGCAAAACAATTGATTCGTCCAAGTTAAAAGGCTTGCAAGAAGACATAGTCGTCACTTTATGTTTGTTAGAAAARTATTTTCCACCGGGATTCTTCACAATAATGGTACACCTTGTGGTGCATCTTGTAAGAGCGGTGGAATTTTGTGGACCTGTGTATTTGAGGTGGATGTATCCTTTTGAATGATATATGAAAATAATGAAGAGTTATGTAAGAAATGGAATGCGACCGGAGGGATTCATTGGAGAAAGTTATATTGTCGAGGAGGCTGTAGAGTTTTGTTCTGAGTATCTATCTGGAATTGATTCAATTGGGTTAAGGTCATCGATGAGGAAGGAGAATTCAGACATTGATAGACCATTGTCTATTGCTTCTTACAGCAAACCGAGTAAGGATCAACTAGATCAAGCTCACCTTTATGTCCTTCAAAATGTAAATGATGTGCTTCCGTACGTAGGGTATGCAAATTTCATTCTCTTTCATAACTTTCTAATTAAGTGATCATCTAGATCATAACTTTGTCATTGACATATGTTATATTTGCAACAGGCAACACATGGATGTTTTGTCTAAGCTTAATCCAAGTAAGTCTAAAAACAAGAAGTGGCTTCAAGATGAGCATAATCGCACATTTAGTAGTTGGTTGCGAGAACGGGTAATCTTAATCTCTAACCATACAATTTAAGGTATACTTAAATGTCAGCTACTTATTTGAAATTGAATCGTAGGTTGCACTTGCTCTCGCGGTGCCGAATAACTCCATAACACCTTCTTTAAGATGGATTGCACATGGGCCTCGTCCAGATGTAGCCACCTATTGTGGTTACGTGGTTAATGGTTGTCATTATCACACAAAAAGACGTGATGATAGAAGAAAGGTTCAAAATAGTGGAGTTAGTATAACGGCTAATACAATGCAAGTTTCCAGTGCTAAAGACAAGAGTCCTATCATTTCAGATATGACATTTTATGGTGTAATACAAGAAATCTGGGAGCTTGACTATCATCATTTGACAGTTATCTTATTCAAAAGTGATTGGGTTGAGAATAAGAATGGACTTAAAATAGATGAACTTGGTTTTACTACCGTGGACCTAAATCATATTGGACATAAATTAGACTCATTTATCTTAGCCTCTCAAGCAAAGCAAGTGTTCTTTGTGAGAGATCCTATTAATCCTCGTTGGTCGGTGGTTTTAACATCTCCTCAACGAATAGTTGAAGATGATTTCTACGAAGATGAATTAGGAGATAATGTTGAAGATTGTGGTTATGGAGTTTTACCTAGTATGCCAAATATCGAGACATTTCATGAAAGCGATGAAACATCATCTACGTATGTTAGAAATGATTGTGAGGGTACATGGATTAATAATAGTACATTAAACATCGGTATGTCATTTAGTGATTTATTGTTACTACGTTTTTATAAGTTAATATATTAACTGTATGTTTTGTGTTTTGGTTGCAGAGCTTTTAAATGGGTGATTCTAATAGCAGTGGTGACAATGAAGTTGAGGTCAGAAAAGTTGTTCGTCGAGGCCCAACAACCATGCGTGAATTGGCTAACGTAAGAAACTCTGAGGGTTCGT